AAAGTAAGCCACGTCACCATTCGGATCCCAAGCCATGATGTCGTCGATGGTGAGAAGTTTACCCGGTTTCTGCCACTTGAAGCCCGATATAGGAAGCTTCTCATGACACATATCCCATCCGTACACGTTGTTTGCGTCTATATAGGAAAAGTAGCTTTCAGGTTTAGAAGGATCAAAGTCTGGAAGATTATGATTGTTAGCCTTAGCATAGCGATGAGTAATGTTGCTAATGCCACCACGGATAGCCTGCTCGATAAAATTATACATTTCCTGATCATCCAATCATTCTAGCTCTACCTCAGTATACTTTAATCCTGCATCTCATGTTAGACCTGGTGCAGTGTAATAATGAACAGGATCAAGATCATAAGAATTTATACACTCTGTCCTATACTGTTGTAGCACTGAGTCGAGGAGTAGGACATCAGAGGCTATGTAGAGATATACCAGATCCTCGAGACTCTCCAAACCAAACACCTCCCAGACTTTCTGCACATGAGCATAGTCCTCATCCGAGCAGGGTTCATCGTTCAGGTAATTGAAGAAAGCCGTAATAGGAGTAGGTTCAGACTCCTCAAGGGTCTCGAAGGTCTTGAAGTAGGAGTATGAGTACACCCCTTTGCGAAGAAGAAGCTCCAGTTTCTCAGGCTCCACAGAACCAAACTTCTGCTGAAGGAAGTCTTCGACAGGTCCTGACGAATGAAGATTAGACACAAGTTTCTCTAGAGAGGAGTTGAGGTGAGCACATGAGTCAATGAATCTGAACTTTTTAGTGCTGAAAGCTGTATATGTTTCCATAGCCTTGGCGATAACATAGATATCCCTAGGATCATCAACACGATCTGCAATACCTCCAATAACCATGTGTGAGTCGTATCCTTTAAGATTGTGAAAGAAAATGGGTAAATACTTTGGTGTTTGACGTTCTAGGTTGCATGGTGGATGAGTGTAACCTAAAACTTTACAGTGTAGTGACAGTGATCGAGATGTTTATCTTTAATAAGTTTACATTTGCAAATAACACAATTTGGATTAGCGATAATCTTAACTATTCGCATTTTCCTTTATTAATTCCGGCGGAATTAATTTATCAGATAAAATATTCCGGCGGAATTAATTTATCAAATAAAATATTCCGGCGGAATTAATTTATCAGATAAAATATTCCGGCGGAATTAATTTATCAAATAAAATATTCTGGCGGAATTAATTTGTCAGATAAAATAGTCCGTGCGATTTTTAAAATGTTCACAATTGCCTTTAATTATTCCTGTGGAATTAATTTATTAGATAAAGTATTCTCAACTATTCGCATTTACCTTTATTTATTCCGGCGGAATTAATTTATCAGTTAAAATATTCCGAGCGATTTTTAAAAGGTTCACAATTGCCTTTAATTATTCCTGTGGAAATAATTTATTAGATAAAATATTATCCACTCCCATCTCTAATGGTATCATCTCGCTATCAAACGTTTTAGCTACGATGTCTCCGGTGACCATCTTGCTGAGGTTTACTTTCAATTCCAAATTGAACTTTATACCAGTTCCATGATTATATTCAATAATATCAGTCAATCTGGGAAACGATTTCTTCAAAGCTCCTTGATATTGAATTTGTTTAAGTTTTAAGATGTTATGCTTTATGATTGTTGATTAACTTATTTGTTTAAAAACTGCATCAGTTTAACTTTTAATTTGTTTATATTTTATTCTCTGCGATTTTAAAATGTTCACAATTGCCTTTAATTTTTCCTGTGGAAATAATTTATTAGATAAAATATTCTTAACTGATCGTATTTACCTTTGTTTATTCCGACGGAATTAATTTATCAGATAAAATATTCCGGCGGAATTAATTTATCAGATAAAATATTCCGGCGGAATTAATTTATCAGTTAAAATATTCCGGCGGAATTAATTTATCAGATAAAATATTCCGGCGGAATTAATTTATCAGTTAAAATATTCCGTGCGATTTTTAAAATGTTCACAATTACCTTTAATTATTCCGGCGGAATTAATTTATCAGTTAAAATATTCCGTACGAAATAATCCATCTATGGCCGTGATACTGGTTACCGTCTGGTTTCCCAAGGAACTCTCTTCAGCTGTCCCACTTGTCTCCACTCTAGGTCTCACGTTCCTGGCTGTCGCGCTACTATCAGGTCTTCTGCAGATCGTCTCATGCTCCAATCTAAGCTCCCGACTCTGGAAAAACAAACTACATACCCGACATGGGAAAAGATCCCCCTCACATACCAAACGATGAGTCACCAAATCATCAGGATGAGTAAGGCAAACTGTACACCACTTACCCTTACCACATGCTTCCACATGTCTCTTAAAATTCCGTACATACCATTTCTGACACACCGGGCACTGATGACCTGGATCCCTTATCTGTCTGAGGTTTAAATAATAAGAGGTAGTATCTATTCTATCGAACACGCCTACACATGCCGCATCCATCACGGCAAGCTCCAGTTGAGCATCAATACTACTCCTCAAGGTAAGATCAATCATCTCCTGTTTAAACTGATGAACGTACAAGGGACTGGACACATAGCGGATACCATTCGAGGCAGTCACAGTCAAAAGTGCTTTAATAGGATAGTTATCCCGAGCACGCCAAATAGACTTGGAAACCTCCGCAAGGGCTGAATCATATTCACCACTGAACTTAAAGTCCGTAGAAGGACCGAAATGACAAGGGCTCTTTGTCATAGCGACCAAAGGGGAAATAATCTGACAATCGGTTGTTTCAAGATTTGATAATTCAAGCAGCGAATTCAATCAAATAAGCAAATAGATAATGTCAACTGCAAAATTTTTGGTTTATATAACGATCACATCCTCTATCAGCACCGAATATCCAGTATCAATTAACACCCTGCACGGATGTTAATTGAAGTGTTAATTGATATCCCGATCGGCTTGTCAGACTACCGGTCATGTCCTCATGTAATTAGTTCCGGGGCCAGAGTGAAAAAATATCGACTAGTCTTCCTGATTGGCTTGTCAGACTGCCAGTCATATCTTCAAGTGAAACTATTTTACTTATCTAGAGCACAGCACAGACATTATTAGGAATATAATTGCACACAGCTAAAGTTTGCTAGGGTTACTACACCCGGACAGCTCACTCAATCCAGCTACCTAGTATAAATTTCAAGGCCACACTTCCTGCACATATCCTATATAACCCGGAACTATACAGCAAATATTTTGAGAATATACTTTCCCATTCTAGCTAGGGTTGACTAGGGTTACTACACCCGGAAAGCTCACTCAATCCAGCTACCTAGTATAAATTTCAAGGCCACACTTCCTGCACATATCCTATATAACCTGGAACTATACAGCAAATATTTTGAGAATATACATTCCCATTCTAGCTAGGGTTGACTAGGGTTACCACACCCGGAAAGCTCACTCAATCCAGCTACCTAGGGTTAACCCGGAAACTAATACACCCTTTTTTACACACAAATTTATATGTCAGATTTTCAAACCGCCCTATTTCCGCCTGAAATCCACTGTTCTCGAAATGAGTCTGGCCCGGCATAGTCATACTACATCTACTAATCACTCCTAAACTGAGAGTTTTAGAGTCGAATCTCGAACCCTGCCATTCAGTCAAGTAATCTTAATCTGAAGTTCTAGAATTACAGTTCTAGTGTTTTAGTACTAATGCATTAGTGCCCTAGATAAGATCTCGAGGCAGCTGTAATAACAAAAGAGCTAGCTAGTAACCACTTGATTAAAAAACGAGGGAATGACACACATTATCATACGATGGGAAAATCTATGCGAACCAAACCACTGCGGTATTACTATTTAAATGGTAAATGAGCTAAATTAAACTGCAGCCAACAGATCTCAATCCAGGGATTACAGACCAATATTGGTCGAGGCAGTGAAGTCAATTATAATTATAAAGTGGGGTACTGGTCAGCGGTCAAGCAACAATATGGTTTTATGGAATGAATAAATTAAAAGTTGAATTTTGGTCATTACATTTTGGCTAAATTGGTGCCAATGAAAAATTGTTGGAGTTTTCACAAATCATGCAGTATAGTTAAACTTATTTACTAATCACTCCTAAAGTGAACGTTTTTGAGTATATGATGTGCATGAGTCGGCAATTGCAAACAATTTGCTGTTAGCAACTGACCCTTTGACCTTTACTTTGACCTTTACTAAAGAAACCGTAATTTTGAAAAATTGACCTTTCGTAAGACACAAATATGCTGCTGTCCTGGCCCATTAAGAGAGATGCCCAATAAAGTAGATTATTCTACAATTTTTGTGAGTGTTTCTGGACACAAAGTGAGTCATCTTACATCTTGTGACAAATGCTATGTTCCTCATGAGTCTTCTTTAAGACCTTTTTAGTTAACAGTCCAATAGCCCATTTGTGAATACTGTCTTGTTCGCTCGGCAAAAATTCGTTTTTCAGCCACATTTCCGAAAGTAAGCCTTTTAGGGTATATGTTGCTTCATAAGTTGTACATAAATGTGGCCATTATGTACATTTTAGTATATCAGAATAGTCTCTACGACCTTCCTAGGCGGAAATGCCAAAAATCACGGAAATTATGAACTGCGTCAAGCCAAAAACCGTTTTTTCGGCCATAATTCCGAAACGAAGCATTTTAAGGTATATGTTGCTTCATAAGTTGTATATAAATGTGGCTATTAGGCACATTTTGGTGTATCAGAATAGTCTTTTAGACCTTCCTGAGCTGATATACAAAAATTCGAGTGACCGCGAAACCCTGAAAAAGGGTGTGGCCGAAAACGCCCTCATTGCATTTATTTCAAAAATGCAATGAAGTCCAAATGTTTTAAGAATCATCTAGAGAGGTGATAACCGTTGAGAAATCGCTTTTAACACGAAAAGCTAACGAGATTCCGTTTCGTCCCTGACTATAAGCTTGATCGTGACTATGATGACAAGATGATAAGATAACCTAATTTAATTCCGGCCCCTATCAGGAGATAACAGCAGGGAATATTTGCTGCCATACGACTCCACCTGTAGCAGCGAACACAGCGATTTTAAATGTGTATCTCATCAAACTGTAGCTGACCTAATTAACGGAAAGTTCGATGGCGTTATTGACAACTATCTCATATTTGATAATAGGTTAATATTCAATATACTGATAGAGCTAATTCATAGTACTCATCAATAGGAGTCATCATCTAAAAACGTGAGCTCTTGCAAATTTGCCTGATACTTTTATTTGAAAGCGGCTATGAAGTTATATTATAATTATGATTATATGATATACTTGTCAGATATCCTTACGAATACGAAGGAGGACACATTAAGGGAGCAATAAACATCGTGACACAAGAACAAATGACTGATTCTTACTTCAGCAATCCAACATTTGAAACCGTCCGACAGGTATATTCCTTTATTAGTTGAGCACTGTTTTCTTTTCCTCCTCAATGTCCACCATTCAATAAATGCGATAACTGTCAATAACTCCTGTCATATCTAAGGTGGTGATATTTCATTGCGAGTTTAGTTCGAAGCGTGGACCGAAGATGTGCCGGTATGTCAGGAAAACGGATAGAACAATGAACAAACAGAACTATCCAAAACTATTTTATCCTGAAATCTATATTCTTCACGGAGGTTACAAGGTAATTGTTCTCATCCCAGCTATGTTCATGAACTATAGTGGCGAACCGTATAACAGATTATATTGACAAGGTTTTTTTTCTCGATGTACAACATTGGTTGGACGTTAAGTTCATTGATCCCGTTTTCAGCTTTGTATCGTATTAATACCAAACCCCCTCAGGATTTCTACCCCAAATTTCCTGAACTGTGTATACCACAAAACTACACTCTAATGTTGGATCCCTTGTTTGAGACAGAGCTAGCTCATTGGTTGAGAGTTACCAAGCAGGTCACAGGTAAATTAAATAAATTATTTTAAGATATTTTTGGCACCCTTTTTACAGCTACCATTGACTGTAACTCTAATACTTCAATTTCAATTTTCTATGAAATTACATGATAGAAAATTGTATGTGAAATGGAATTACAGTTTCATTAGTATAACTCTAATCTTTATTGAATATTGTTATTGCCTCATTATAGACAATTTGGTCTTATGTAAATGTAATTTAAACAAATTGCTGTAAAATGTATTTTAATTGTGAAATAAAAACATAAGCCATAACTTCGGCAAAGATCGACATTTTTGGTCTGGTACATCCGCAGTCCTCTTTAAAAAAAACACCACTAAATAAATTTCATTAATCAATAGTTTTAAAGCCATCTTGACCCCTCACGACTAGTTTCACCAAATTTCAGGAGACAATGGCCAGGCAACCGTGCGGGGGATGAAAAAGAGGACCAAATCTTCTAGACAGCTCCAGATGCCTTAACAAGTCGTCTGCCCAACTTGATAGTAGTAATTTATATTGTTAGCAGGATATAACGTGTCTTTTATTGTAGATGGTGGGCCCAGTGACCATGACACTGGATTTTAGGTGTAAACTGTAAAAATTTCAAACTGTAAACTCTATTGTAAAAATTATATTCTTTCATATTCCTCTTTACGAAATTAATGGTAATAGCTCTTTATTTATGCGAGTACTAAAAACTAAAATTGATAATATGTTATGTTTTTATATCAATATGTTCTTATAATCCCATTCTCAAAATTTGACTGAACTCAAGTTGCGACTTCACCTTATTTAAAAGGTTGACTGAGCGCTGACATTTTGGAGCTTAACTATTATACAATATATATAACATTTAAAAATTAATGTACAGCCAAACCTCTATAAACCGGGCTACTCGAGGAATGTCAAAATGCTTGTTTAAAATTTGTAAACAGAGGTGGGATTTACATACTTGAAACCAGTACATATTACATTTTCAATTGGGATAACAGAAATAATCCTGGTAACGGAGAGACCTGGTAAATTAACGCATGAAAAGTAAAGGTTTGACTGTATCATTATCGAATTATTTGTATGTTGTGTAAAACATGGGACAAGGAGTTATTGGAATGCCTCCGAAGCTTATTTGTGTTACTTTAGTTCAAACTTTTCAATTAGTTCTGATTGTTTGAAACCTACACAGTTGGCAATGGAGGCAGTCACGTGTCATGTTTTTTAAAAGCTATGTAATTACAAACTTATTTGGTTTAATAAAATCTGAACGTTTTATTTGCTTCTGTCTTATTCCTGACATCCAAGGTAACTGAAGCTCATATTGACATATTCAGCATTCTTGTTAACCGCAATTTTTAAAACAAGAGCGATGATAATATTATGCTCTATTTATTTTCAAATATTTGTTTACAATTACGCAAAAAAAGGTTATTCGACGGTACTTAGACTCATAGTCAATAATATTTTAACATAACTGTTCCTTATCAGAATGGCACCCACCCGAACAACCCGTGCCTCAGTCCGTAACGACCCTGCCCACGTGCACTGTTCCTTGACTCCAGATCGCAAACCACGTGCCAAGAAGACACGCAAATCATTCTTCAACCTCACCGGTCAAGGTACTTCTCATGTCAAGTGTTTAGATTATAAGTTTTTTACAACAATTTTTATTGGAAGTGATTTCAAGTTCAGCCTTCCTTAATCCTTATCTGTCGAATTCAAAATACTTTATACTATCCATATTATATTCCATATTGAACTTTGATTTCAGAGACTCATATAGCTGGTGTATCCCGATGTCAAAGAATTATGAAGGAGACCATGTGCGAATTGAATGAATTCAAGTATGAAATGGAGACCGAGAGATCAAAATTTGGTTACACTGATCCAAGTAAGATTTTTTGATTATTTTCCATTGCATCATAACTATCGTCATTCAGTATTGAGTTACGATTGAATTCCTGAAGATTTTCACTCTTAACACTCTCAAATCAATTTAATTTTAAAATATCTACAATGTCAAGTGCTTGTTAAACAACGTTTCACACAATTCACATAAAACTTTTTAGTGAGGCTGATAGTGAGTTTCAGTATATTTCTCAAGCTATGCGCTGTACCATTCATTTCATTTCTCCCACTTACCAAGCACATTTCAGATCGAAAACAGGTGAAGAACTTTGTAGAAGATGTGGAGAGCCTGCTTAAAGATAAAATATCAGGGGGTTTTAATAAGTTGGTGTTAACAGCGCTATATCCCCCCGAGGGGGCGGAACCCCCAACCATTCCCCAATTAGAGACTGCCTGGTCTGAGCTTGTTCCCACGGTTCGTTTCACAGCTTTTCATTAAGAGCAATGTTCTTATTTTATTTTTCATGCGTGTATTCATTAACGTCATATTAGAATTGGTTATAAGGACCACCTGAACAATCCCTGTCAACAATAACTTGAAGATTTAAATGAAATCGTATCATCGATCATTTGAGAGGGTTAAAACATTGTCATATCACTTAAAATTCGACTATTTTCATGAAATAAAATATGTTCTCCGCTGTCATCTCGAAAGTAACTTCTCAAATAGCCCCTTCTTAACATTCTGCATCTGACCCCTTCATAAGTAAGAAAATAACTAATTAATGACGCGCGAGGATTCGTATGTCACGTGAGCACTGCATGATCACGTGTCACCATGCAATGTTTACTCAGTTAACCGAGGTGAAAGAGGAGTATACCAGACTGTGTAAGATGAGAGATAACAACTGGGCCACACCCGAACCCATGAAACCAAAAGCAAAGACCCCTCGTAAAGGTATTAGTTTTACATTATCTGCACTAGCTTATAGTAGTCGTACTAGGATTAGATGGAGTGTTTGTTTTGATATTGTTTTATTTGACTGAGCCACGGCATTTTCAACTCCTCAGCGATCAGTTAGCGGTTTCTTGATTCTTTGAATGTTCAAATGCAAGTTATTCTTTTACTCGACAACTTATTATACATAGTTATTCACAATATTTGCAGCCACAAAACGGAGAGGAAGAAAGAAAGTTGACAACAAGGAGAATTAAAATCATGGCCAAGTTTTAGCCGATTGTTTAGGACTAACTAAATTTTGCATAGTATCTTTTTATTTTGATGACCTTTTTTAAATTTTGCATAATTTGTTTGATTTTTTTAGTAGTGGAACAGCAATACTAAGGTAATGGGACTACTGCGGACCCTCTACCGGCCAAACCTTGTTAACAAAGCCGCAGTCAAGGTTCGGTGAACCGTAGTTAAAAGCGCTTAAGGGACATAAGTCAAATTGGTAGAGCAACATCATGTAGTGGACGTCTTAAGAAATGAGGAGTAGGTAGAATGTTAGGTTGCTCCTTTATAAATCGTCTTTTTCTCCGATAATAAGTTGACATCAAGTCTTGAAAATTATTCGAGAAGAATCTCGAATAATTTAGTTGCAGCGTGCCACATGGCTATCTAAACTGCAAACCCTACCCATTGCTGAGCAAGGTCTTTATCTTCTCCGACGAGCGGGATCATCAATAATGAGGTCTGATCGTCATCTTCTTACAGCGTTCGATGTCTGTGTGAAGGTAAAATGGTGATATCCTCTGGATCAGGCAGAGGTTGAGTGTTATCGGGATTATTATTTTTTTAGTAGTAGAACAGCAATACTAAGGTAATGGGACTACTGCGGACCCTCTACCGGCCAAACCTTGTTAACAAAGCCGCAGTCAAGGTTCGGTGAACGGTAGTTAAAAGCGCTTAAGGGACATAAGTCAAATCGGTTGAGCAACATCATGTAGTGGACGTCTTAAGAAATGAGGAGTAGGTAGAATGTTAGGTTGCTCCTTTATAAATCGTCTTTTTCTCCGATAATAAGTTGACATCAAGTCTTGAAAATTATTCGAGAAGAATAATTTTCAAGACTTGATGTATTTTCCACTTTTACGATCTGGAAATTGTTTTTGTATAAAGATTTCTTTTGTTTCTGGGTGAAATGTTACGTTGTGTTGGTGTTTGGGGGATGCAACGTCTAATTTTGAGTTACAAATTAGTTGAAGAAAAAATTATCTGTAAAAAACTGAAATCAGTCTTATTCATTTGAAGCGTCTGTGAAAGGCTTATAAAAAATATGTTCGAATTATCGCAGATTAGCCTAAGTTAAAATATGTCATTGTGTCCCCCCTGTATTATAGATTTTTAAAATAAATTGCCCAACACAACATGATAAAAAGAGTAAAAATATCTATTTCATTAAATGTAAATTTTTAAATCAATGCTGTTTTATTTATGATCATTACTGCCTCGCTTAATTTTCAATACATACATCAAGTTCGGTTTATTTAGTTTTTATTTCCAAAGTTTAAAAAAATATTCCCTCCCGGAACGCAATATAATAAATAATAAATATCTAACCTACCGACCTATTGAACAGAAGATATGGCACCTGTATCTACCAGGTCAGCAGTCCTCGCGGATCCAGAGTATGTTTTCGACCGGTTCACACCAAAGAAGCGACGGAGTAGCAGACGAGCAGTGGAAAAGGAGGACACTCTGAAGAAACAAAAACTTGACCGAGAAAAGGTACACTTGGTTTTAATCAACACATTTTTTCGAACATAGCATCTTTTAAATTGACTATTTGCTATAGATTCTCCGGTCCCCGTTCTTTGCCTATTTATGATATCAATATGTTTTACTCTCGAAAAAAATAACGTTCTTATCCTGACTCATCCGTCACCCTCAGTCCCCTCAGGCTCTAAACAACAAGCGAGACGGACTGTTCTCAGACAGTGCCGTGTTAAAACATTTCGGAGCGGAGCACGTGGCAGGAGTTCAGGGCTGTCAGGATCTCATGGACAAAGCGGGTACAAAGTTACTAAAACTTGCGGATGAAATTGAAAGTTACAACACCCCGGAATCTGAGATATCGGAAAATGGTTTGTACTTACTTCTACTACATTCACCCTTCACTTGTGTTTAGTATTTATAATCACCCTCCCTAAAATTGTGACGAACCCATTAAACCCTTATTTTTTTAGTGAGGGGTGATATGGAAGCATTCAGTGGAAAAGCGCGTCTGTTGGTGACGAGTAAGCTGAGAAAGCAGTATCAGCGTATGATAGACGACGCCCTCAGTCCTACTTACACACCTCCTACCAAAGTTTCAGATTTGACTGGCTTCTGGGAGATGGTCCTACTTCAGGTACAGTTTCTAGGATTGAAGTTCTACTTCAATCTGGTGGATTCGTGTAGTGTTTTTGAGTCTCATGATTTGATAGTTCTTTTATTCAAATTTCTGATTGTTTCTGAATAGACTCAGTGAAGACAGATTCTAATGGAAATAAATAGCTGAATAACGTATCGACATTTCTACGTCATACTCATATTCTGAAATAGTATTAATTCAATTATAACGATCAATATTCACATTAAAAATTTGACGACGAAATTTATTTCAAACAAAATATATAACTGTTAAATAGTTATCAACCGTAAAATAGTTTTAAACGAAATCAGAGCAAATATGAACATAAAACTGACAAAATTTTATCAAATAGGGCTCATCTGAGAATTAACGAATAGCGTGACGTGTACAGGAGATAAAAGATTAAAAGAGATAAAATAATTAATGGACAGCAGAGGAGTGAAATTTAAACGAGAATATTACTATTTACACGTCACTCAACTAAAAACTGTGTTAGATTGTTCAACTCTGTTTTATCGTTGAGTGTTGGTTTATTTTCAACTAAAAATCGGGCTTCTTTAATCTTTCTGTTGATGAGTGATGTTCCTCTATATCTACGATTTGAAGTTTTAACTTTGGCGGGCCTTTGTGCTGAGGGTGACTTTCCCTGTAGTGCTTTGCTAGTGGCTTATCTTCGTAAGATTTTGCTGTTGGATTTGCCGCACTACGGTAATGCTCGTCGAACCTGCACTTGATTGGTCTGTATGTTTCCCCACCATAGTTCTCGGTGCAATTGTCTACTTCGCAAGTGATGTGGTAGACGGTATTAGTTGTGGTGCATTCTCCATCGGTTAAAGCTCCATCGGTTAAAGCTGCTCATATCTCTTGTACAGACTGTTTTACAAGGACATTGACAGATGATACTCACATTAGGCATTCATTATTGCATCTAAATTATTTTACTTGCATTAGGTTTAGAAATTTATTCTCTGGTTAACAGATTTCAAATGTTTAATTAATTTGTAGTATGACAGTAAGGTATATAAGAAGTTATTTAATTTTGCTTGGGCTATTATATTGACTATTGAGGTTTAATGATGATATGGAATTTGAATTTTATATAAATTTACACTATGTGGTTGGGGCATTTTGCATAGTAAATATGGTTACTACTCCTATATATCATATTATTTGATTGGTATTCGATTTCTGATTATTTCCCTAGGAATATGATTATTATATCTCAATTTGGCTTTAGGTAGGGTGCCCCGCTAAAAGAACTGGATTCTTCCAGGAAGCATCCCGTGCACAGAGCTTGGTCTACATATATATTAAATTATTAACCATTCATTCTGTATGTGCACGAAAATTTATTTCAATCAATGTTCTGCAGTTTGATGTTGAACAGGATTTCTTGTCAAGGGGTCTGGAGTCTGTAAGGAGATCCTTCAGTTTCCGTCCAGGTTTCTCGACAATTTTGATGGGGAGTCCACTATGTCTGACAGCATCTCTGTATTTGCGACTAGTAGCTTCGTTGACATAGGGTAGTTTGAGAATCGCTCCGTCTTGGTCTTTGTTCTGTACGTTCTGATTAATTCTCATTCTACGTTTTCTCTTGTTCTTTATGGTTTCTAAGACTCTATCAGTGTAGCCGTTGTTGATGAAAAGTTTATCTATCATCTTTTCTGAGTACTTCTCGTTTTCTCTGTTGTTAGAGACTGCCTCTGCGGTGTTGTACATACTCTCAACAGTAGCATTCTTTGTACGTGTTGTATGATGAGAGTTGTAGTGGAGGGTGAGTGGCTTTTTCTGTGGTTTTCTATAGAGTCTAGAATGTACTATTCCATCTGAGTCAGGGTAGTCTACAGTTAGTTTGATAAGTTTGTCAGGATCTTGTTGTTCGATGAGGTTGCACAGTTGCTGAGCTTTTCGTCTGTTGGTGGTGGCTCCGTTTAGATCGTCGTAAAACCTGCTGTAGGTGGGCAGTGTTATCCTCAGGTCTACGTAGACTGAAAGTTTTTCCAGTTTCCACATTTTGACAGTAGCTAGTATAGGCGCAGGGTTGGTTCCCATGAACAATCCAAGAAGCTGTAGGTAGACTTGATTGTTGTAGACAAAATATGACTTTCCTAGGGTTGTCTCTAGTAGTTCTTGTAAATCAGAGAGATGGAGACCGTATGTACTGATTGACTGTCTATTTTCTTTGGCAAATTCCATGACATCTTCTATTGCTGTTAGTACGTTGATGTTGGTGTATAAAGCTTCGACGTCTGCTGTAAAGAAAGTAAGACTCTTCAGATCATTTGGTGTGATGTTTCTAATCCTTCGAAGAAAATCGTGAGTGTTTTTCAAATGTGAAGGTACTAGATTCATCAGAGGAGATAGAATGTGACAGACGAACCAAAGGATTTTGTGGAAAGGGGAGTTGCAGCCTGAAACAATAGGTCTAGTTTTCATTGTGTCAGGGTTAAGAGTCTTGATCTGATCACTTGTGTACTTGTGGGTTTTAAGCATCACTCTTGTAGTAGCGAGGGTGGTGTGATGGCTCATTAACAGGTTAGTAACATCTTGAGGGAGATTACGACTCTTGGCAATGTTCTTGAATGTTGAGTTAACATCGTCTTCTAGAGTTTTAGTTAACTTGGTTATGTACTTTTGTTTGCCCAGTTTATCCTGTGGTATGTCGATCTTCTTGTAGACGTTTCCATTGTTGAGGTGAGTTGTAGTTGTCCTGATGTGATCTTCTTTAGGCATTACTACAAACTCTGCTGTTTTGTCAGCGACGGAAATTTGAAGGTCTTCATTGTTCTTCAGGTTTCTGAGAGCAGTTCGTTGTTTTGGAGTGAGATTGGGTGTGACTTGAGCTGTCTTGGTGATGTTGATCAGATCTCTTCGAAGTGCACCCAATTTGTTCTCGACGGTAGTGTCTGCTAGAGGTGGAGCACGAGTGTAAGTTTGCTCGTATTGTGCAATGTTCTTCAAATGTTGTTTAAGCGTCTTAGTTGAGTAGGTGTTAGCAAATAACTCTTTCCAACGTACATTAATGGCCATTGCAGCAATATTCTCCTGTACCGTAGTGAGTAAGGCCTCCTTTCCTTTCTTGTCCAGTCGTGGGGTTAGGGCATACCCTGGACCGAGGCTGAGTAGGCTTACAGTGTCATCATTGATCATGTTCTCTGGAATGTTGACGAACGTGACCTTTTCTCTCGGGATAGCGAGTGAAGGGGGATGAGTAGGGGAATGTAAGACACAACGCTCAGTTGAAACGATAATATCTACAAAGGGGTGGACCGAAACACACTAATAAAACCTAGGTCAGGATACTTATTATAGGCTCCACGAGAGCGTACCTACTGCTCTCGAAATATGATCATGCCTGATTAGCCAGGAGATGCGGGCTATCACTTACCTCGACCATATCCTCCTTCAGGTCTCACCAGGGTCAGGGATCGTACAGTTCCACTAATATAGTGACACCCAACCTCAATGGACTGGTGCATTACCTCCTGCACCACGATTATATGCTGGGAACCGCGAGAGCTCCCCGTCTTAACACTGTCATGATAATTATAGCACAGGACTGCTCCTGTGCTAGTGACTCGTGGGTCACATACTTGTATGTTTTAAGTCTAGTGAAGTACACTTATTTAAGGGGCCAGAATGGAGCTTCTGACATCAAGGTAAATAAACTAAGTATTGGATATATATAACATTCGTTAGCGATAGAATAATTTAACACGTTATAGTCTAAGGCCACTCTAGGAGTACTCACCCAGTTGTCGATAGGGAAGTAGCGTTAGCAGGAGAGAAGTTTCCGGACGGGCCGGCATCTGAAGTAGCGAGGTCCTTCTGCAACTGCTGAGAGCTAATCCGAGGTATGAGTTCTCCTAGTCGGCATCCTGAGATCTGCGATAGCGGCGTGGTCCTCTAGGCCCAGGATCCGTGGGGGCTGAACTCTGCGGGAGCTGAGCTGCGTCGCGTAAATGCCTGTAAGAGAAGTCAGCTGGATCTCTGCATCTCGGCGCGTCTGACCCCGGGTCCAATGCCAAGTTCCCTTGATTCCGTCTCCGATTTCCAGTTAATTAGGGGCGGGCTATCATCGTGGGGCGATCGGAGCTCCGTTCCATGGGAATTGGTACGTTGAGTAGATAAGGTAGTTGGACATCGCCAACGGTCAGAGCGGGAAAACTTGTTCTAGAAGATACTGGAACGGGGTAGAAGTTTAAGGCCACGTATAATGATTACGTCTCCGATGGGCACTGTATAAGCGAAGTATCACGAGCATTCGGCGTGAATACTGTAATATACTGGCATCTTATCACCAATCGGGGTTTCTTACAGGGAAGTAGTATTGGAGTTGGAGTGTTGATGAAGCGGGCGAGGAGGAGAGGTAGAGGAGGATGAACGTAGAGTAGGACGATGATCGAAAATGGTATGTAGAGGGGGTGGTAGTTGGTCCTGTTTCTTAATGTGGTGGTACAAGTGGATATAAGAGAAGTTCTGATTGAATTTTTCTCTGTTTTTCCAACAGGGGAGTTAGTATTTGTATACTAACCAGCTAAATTTGTTACATAGTCTTGTCTTAGAGTTTTGTTTAGTTTGATTATTGTTGTGAAAATAAAGCTGCGAAATGAAAGCAAAATGTTCAGGTGTAGAATCACGTAAAAAGTTCTTCAGTTGGAGTGAGTCCTTCTTTAGTTGTTCGATGAGTACGTATTTGAACTGAATGTGTTAGTTTAAACATGATTTCCTGAGTTCAAATAGTGTTTTTTGTTGAAAGGCTGAGAAATTTAGAGGAAATGACTGTTTCAAAGCTCTGACACTGTTTTGAATGAATACTGGAAATATTTGCTCCGATTTGCAGCGTTGTAAAAAGAGAAGGGCCTGTTCGGTTCCTTTTAGTTTTTCTCCAATCGCGAGTAGATTTTTGGAGAAAAGATTTCGTTTAAAACTTAACCAACACTCAACGATAAAACAGAGTTGAACAATCTAACACAGTTTTTAGTTGAGTGACGTGTAAATAGTAATATTCTCGTTTAAATTTCACTCCTCTGCTGTCCATTAATTATTTTATCTCCTGTACACGTCACGCTATTCGTTAATTCTCAGATGAGCCCTATTTGATAAAATTTTGTCAGTTTTATGTTCATATTTGCTCTGATTTCGTTTAAAACTATTTTACGGTTGATAACTATTTTACAGTTATATATTCTGTTTGAAATAAATTTCGTCGTCAAATTTTTAATGTGAATATTGATCGTTATAATTGAATTAATACTATTTCAGAATATGAGTATCTGAGTATGACGTAGAAATGTCGATACGTTATTCAGCTATTTATTTCCATTAGAATCTGTCTTCACTGAGTCTATTCAGAAACAATCAGAAATTTGAATAAAAGTTCTACTTCAGGTACAGTTTCTAGGATTGTAGCTCTACTTCAGGTAAAGTTTCTAGGATTGTAGCTCTACTTCAGGTACAGTTTCTAGGATTGAAGTTCTACTTCAGGTACAGTTTCTAGGATTGAAGTTCTACTTCAGGTACAGTTTCTAGGATTGAAGTTCTATTTCAGGTACAGTTTCATAGGATCGAAGTTCTACTTCAGGTACAGTTTCTAGGATCGAAGTTCTACTTCAGGTACAGTTTCTAGGATTGTAGCTCTACTTCAGGTACAGTTTCTAGGATTGTAGCTCTACTTCAGGTACAGTTTCTAGGATTGTAGCTCTACTTCAGGTACAGTTTCTAGGATTGTAGCTCTCTTCAGGTACAGTTTTTAGGATTGAAGTTCTGAACTTCAGGTACAGTTTCTAGAATTGAAGTTCTGAACGTCAGGTACAGTTTCTAGGATTGAAGTTCTGAACTTCAGGTACAGTTTTTAGGATTGAAGTTCTGAACTTCAGGTACAGTTTCTAGGATTGAAGTTCTGAACTTCAGTTACAGTTTCTAGGATTGAAGTTCTGAACTTTAGGTACAGTTTCTAGTATTGAAGTTCTGAACGTCAGGTACAGTTTCTAGGATTGCAGTTCTGAACTTCAGGTACAGTTTTTAGGATTGAAGTTTTGAACTGATCTATTTAATCCTAAACGACCATACATTATCCCAAAAATAAAGGGCGTGGAAGAGTTTTGGATAATTATTTGTCTACCGAATTGAACCCTCATACTGTACTTGCGGTAAAATGTATATTTTCAGCTTGACCAAGTTGACACTGACTATGCGGATCTGCTCAAGCTGAAGGAAAATAACTGGGTTGAGGTGAAAGTAGTCAAGCCTGTAGCTGTTTCTGCCGCAGTTCTCAATCCAAAAGTTGTCAACAAGCCCGTTGTCCAGAAGACGAATCCTAAGAAAACAGGTCCAGTTTTAATTTGAATAAATCTGCAAGTTCTTTTTAATTCAACTTCTGCCGCAAATATGGGATCTAGTCACATGCTTTTGTGTTTAATTTTCGAAAGTGAATAAATATTTGGGTTCTGTAACGCGGGAAGCGAACCTAGGTTCCTTTCTAAATCCTAATTGGGATACTGAACACAGTATGATCGGATCACTGTACTGACATATATAATTCATTTTCAGAAATGGATAAAGTCCGAGCAGATCGGATGAAGGCCTTCAAACTTCAGATGAAAGCCAAGAAAGAGGCTGCTAAACAGGGAAAAGAGAACGACGATAACACTTTCGTCGTGACGTAATCAATCAACAGCGTTTCTTGAACTGTGTCAATATTCTTATATCAGAAATAAAATATTGCAAATGTCATATTTATTTGACCATCAATAACAATTAAATTAACACGGTTGTGAAGCTGTGTTGATGTTAGTGATCGTTTATATATTATTATTACGGAAGCTAAACTAAGGAGGAGGGGGCAGGATATACTGCCGCTAGTGTAACTGTCACACAATGGTTATGTGTAAAGTGGGGCCGGAGAAGGGTCTAAAATGGCCAAAATTAGGCTTAGTTTAATATGTGAACGATCCCTTATGAGTGTATTGCAAATGCTAGACCCCTGTTTTAATAATGTTTAGCGTGAAACGATTATCAGATCCCTACAATTAATGGTACTTGTCAGGTTTAATTTATTGAATGCTTTCTTGTTATATCAAATTTAACGTCACGTTAAGTTATCATATAATTTAGAAACAGTTTTGAGAAATTTACTTTGTATTATATAATTACATATATCTAATTTCTGAAATGACCAATTCCCCTATTCGTGATATTAATTTTATACGCAATTTTATAATATCTATGCATGTCAGAATTCATGAACCTATGTTTTTACGATTCAGTTATAATTATTTTCTGCATAATCTGCAAACTAATTCAGGTTATGAAATAATTTTTGATTTCATATGTACCTTATTAGATGGAATATGTACGTTACTTTTTAAATGTGCTTTTGGTCAAACCTCGTACTATTTCTGTGCGAACATTTATGATGCCGCACTTTTTAGGTGATGTATGTATTTTTAATGTTATGAAATAAGTAAGGAAATATATATTAAGGCTGCCGGATTTCGTTTACGTTGGGTTAAATGATATTTTATCGTTGGGTTTAATAACGATTAAAACAGATCAGAATTTTTGTTTTTTCTTGATTTAAGTTCCTTACAATTCATAATTAAGTACCTATTATGATGCTTCACAAGTCAATGAATTTGTTGGGATTTATAGTGGTTTATGCCTGTCACATGTGGAATAGAGACCTGAGCCAAAATTGATAACACTAATTGAATAAACGAAATTCGAAATGACCGTAGATGATTTATCCTGAATCTGGTATTAAATCGTGAAATAGGGATGGTTAATCTATTTGAGCTTCTCAGGTTTCTATTTCAACTGTGATTTGTAGAGTGTGGTGGAAATGGTATTTATTAATATTTTATTCTTACTGTAATGTTAAAACTGAAATTGATGTGATACAAGTGCACAAAACTGTATTTTTCCTTGTCTCCTTTAAAAAAAGCTGTAACATAAACCAGCATTAAGATAAATCTAAAATCTGGTATTTTATTATCAAGAATTCAGATTCTTCTTATATTAAATTTTATAGTATGAAAAGTGTCGGTTCTGTGTGTATACTGCATTTATACATCGATTACATCGATTTCAATTTCCAGCAAGACAGTTTGTTTATAAACCTTCTTATCGGAAATCAGAATCGATGTATTTTTAACGCTGTTCCGATTCACCCCATAACTAGTAGTAGTTGAGTAAAACATCTAGAATGTAGGGTAAGTTATAGAACTCCTGATCAAACGAGTGACGAAATTGCTGGTGGTACGGCACAAGACAACACTAACAGTCTTGGGAACATTTTCCGACCAACATTTTTTGAAATTTGGTGCATTTTAACCGTGTCAAATTGGCAAAAAACTGTATATACTTCTGACACAAAGTGTTCATTGTCCAATGAGCATCCTGTCATGCTGCTACCATCGGGCATCGTGTTACTCTCTAGAAATAAAAGGATGTGAATTGTGAATCTAATTATGCTTACGCATGAAATCCAGTCCTTCTCGCTGGCTAATATTGGTCACGTTATGATTATATAATTCTATCAACTGACTGTACCTCGTGAAGCTGCGTCACACGGTGACCACGTGCCCGACAAACTGGTGCCGTAGCATAACTATAAGTAGTCTTACAATATGTATGGCAATGCGGGTATTACGTTATTATTATAAGATAAACTCAGTAATACTAAGAATGCCAGCCATTCTGCCAGCCAAACGGGGCAGCAGGTGATACATTTTCTCATGTTGCTGCGTCATTTTAATGTGCCCATTTCTTGTTGTCGAATTTCTGTTCGATCGTCGTGTGGCGTTATTCAATCTATAAAGACATTTTTGCGTCATAATTAACATTAATTTAAGTATTTACGCCGCCAACGTGACTGTGAGTCGAGATACATTAATTAAAATTATGTACCTGAGGGTTATTTAGAAATTTTGCCCCTTCTCTTTATGAGTTTACTTAGAATTACAGTTAAAAATCTGCTACTAGTACTATAGTAGATCCACTGCATGATCTAAACTTAAAGAATGTTCAACAGGATTAGGAAGTTAAACTTAATTTGAAATAATACGATCTAAAATAATCAAAACTATGTACCTATAATCTATATATATATTATATGACCTTATATTTAATGTACAAACCGAAGTAGTTGCAAGCCCGTAAAACTAATATTAATAATAATATATGTGCCTACATCTTGGAGTTTTTTTTATTATGAAATTAATGATACCGTTATCTGAAGTTTATTTTATTATGGAATTTGTGATACATGATACCGTCTGAAGAAATATTTTAGAATTGCAACGCCCTATAGTATATTAATATAGTCTATATGTCAGCTGTTAATTCGTGCAGTTATAGTGTATCCCCTTCAAGTTTTCTTATTTCTAAGCTTTACTTTTAATTTGATTTTGAGCAAGCGTTCGAAACAATTTTATTAACAGTGATAAAGCATTATATTAAGCATTGTCATTAAAGCATATCACAGTTATCAGTTGTTGGTCACGTTGAAAGATTATAATACATTTCGGGCAATAATTTGCAGGCCGGGTGTGATCGTTTCACAGATTGACGAGCACATTTAATTTCGTTAAATATGCGTGACCCATTTACAAATACACATGCCTCGGTGAACACTTTTTTCTTTTGCAGTTATCATGATGATTGTTGTGCCAATAAAACGTTGGGCAAACTGAATTGTTCTGATTGATCGTAAATTTACTGTAAACCTTTTTAAATGTTAAAATGATTCTACCTTATAAGACTTTATTAATTAAACGGACATTAATTGAAGGCCCTATGGTTCATTTTAAATTTAATGTCCGGTCAAATAATGTCCAATAAGGTAGGACTAGGTTAAAATACCTTTACAATTACATTACCTAAACCTCGTTACATACCTGAACCTCTTAAATATCATACTATAATTTTATTATTTCTACGAATAGGATATGCACCATTGCACCGTTAATCTGTTTAATCGTGTATCCTCTTTTGATCTATTTCAGCATAACGTAAAATTCGAAAGCCACAATTCAAGTTGGCCAAATTATTTATTCAATATTCATATTGCAGTCAAACCCCGACATTATTACACACTGCGATTAACCGTAAACCTTGCAGAGTGCCTTACTTTTCTCCAATATTGTTATATACATTTAACACAGGGTGTTCACTGTTCATAATACGGTATTAAACATTTGTAGGTCAATCTATAAAGGAGCAATTGGCTATATTTTCAAGGGATATTGAGCTATAAAACACCAAAGAATATGGGGCATGGTTTTAAGAAGTCTTCATATATCTAATTCTATGATTTGGTGCTGAGAAGCACAGTCAGCCATAATTTTATTGTTTTTGGTTGCATCTCTAGTGCAGTAATTGAGATTTGTCTTCCAAGCTGTCTGAAAGTTTTAAAAACGTTATTCAATCAAGTAGTTATTTTCCTTTCAGGATCCCCGAAACAGCCCATTTCTATGGCATCTGGAAACACCAATAGCAAAGGCTGGTATGCTGGCAGCAATTATCCGTACGTTGTTTTGGTTGGTCAAGTTGGGACAGGAAAATCGACAATCGTTGAAAAATTAACCGACGAAAAAAACCTGAGCGGCAACAGTCACAAAAGTGTAACTAGATCATCAGATTCATTCTGGACGTACGATGGAAGTATGGTTATCTGTGATACTCCTGGAACAAACCCTGAGGCCGATAAGTTCAAACATAATGTCCATGTAGCAGCAGCACTGAACTTTAAACCTGTATCTCGGATTCTGGTTGTAGTGAAGGCGGATATCAGGATGGCCAGTCCACTGGACCGTATCAGAGAGTTCGCAGAAGACCTTCTGGATCTGCCAGATGAGATCATCGGGGCATTGGTGACCCATATGGACACTGTCACGTGGTCCCGAAGTGAATTCAAAGCATGCTTGAAAGAAGGGTTAGGTATAGAATGTGTGCTCTTTAGTGGAGTGCACACTTCTAAAAGATCTTTGCTGGATGATATTAAGGCCAATTGCACGCAGACCTTGAACTTGAGGATTGACCATGAGAACTTTTTAAAGATGTTCAAGATAGGCAAATCTGAACGAAAAATTATTCTTCAAATTAGAGATGAAGTGCAACACTTTAAGAAAATAAAAGAGCAGTTTGACCAAGCTAGGAAAATTTATAAAGAGAAGGATGAGATAGATTTAATATTCGAATTCCAGGCCTGGATGGAATACCAAGTTGAGATTGCTCAAAAGAAGCTTGCTAAAGCAAATGATTTCTTGTTCTATGGACCCAAGGCAGACGCAGAGGCAGGATATGTCGCTAACATGACGAATCAGATGAGACTCGTCTTGTACGACCTCCGAGTTGAAGCAGCGGGTCACCAAAGTGAGCATGGAGCTGGAGATGCCAGACGATGCCCTCATTGTAACGAAGTGTGGATAAAAGTTGAGGGATGTGAAGGTCAAACAACTTGTGGAGAAAGGCCCTCTGCTGGTATTGACGTTCGTAATTTAAACTACGGAGTTTTGGGAACATGTATTTTCAGTTTGATAAAAGACACGTTCACAATAAAGAAGCACACTGACAGAAAAATAGAACGGCAAGTATCCGGAACTGGAATTGGGTGTGGTAGAACAATCGATTGGAAAAGGCTACAAAAAGTGGCGGTCCCTCAAGATCTAGTCAGAGCAATAAAACCAATTAGAATGGATGAAGTTCCTATTCTTAGCAAAAATGTTCCTGGAGCGAGTAACTGGCATGCGGCAGTGGATCATGAGTTGGAAAATGCATTAAACCATCTAAAACTAGGCAAAAATCCAAATGCATGATGTTGACAACAGTTAATGAGCATCAAAGAAATAGTCCTCGGTTAATTCTGTCAGAGTCTGGCACTGGTAGAGCATCAAATCTTCCCGCTGCCGAGTTTGTGACATATTTTAGTCTTCACGTACGTCGGTACGTTGTATTGTCAATAATGTAGTAAAAACTATAGTACACAAGATTTATTGGAACGAGACAGACATTCACCTGGCCTTTTTATCAAACCATGAAACTGCTGTTTCCTTGTCAAAACAATCCTGTGTCACCCTTCCCAGGCTAAGATTCTTGTCAATAATGAAACTTACATAGGACGCTGCGCTTCTTGAGTGTTTTGTTTATAAAAACTAAATTTGTACAGCTACAAGTACAGGAGGATCAAGCTTCTTTTTTTATATTTTAATATGAATCGAAAATTGTATTGTCACTGATTGAAATTGAATTTGTTTAATCATTAATTGTTGCGTTCTTAATCTTAGATCAATGTTTTTTATTATACTTATAGTGTTTATTGAACGTTTTATTAACGGGGAAGGGTGAAGCTCATTTTATTCTCAATGCTTTGAGTTAAAATTTTTTACAATTGCGCCCAAAAGTTTCTTCCCTAAATCTTCGCCCTTTCACCTCTGCTGTTTGTGCAATAAAACTGTACTCATGAAATTTGGCTCTACTTTAACTTCTTAAACTAATTTCTACCACTTCAGGATCAAGGATACGTTTCGTGACATTTGGATAAACAGCAAGTACCGGATTTAGTTTTGGGTATGGTGGTCGTGATTATCCTTATGTTGTTTTGCTCGGCCAAGCAGGATCTGGTAAATCGACTTTCGTCAGAAAATTGGTTCATCCGGATTGCCTGAGTGATGTTGACAACAAAAGTGTGACCAAATTTTCTCGTCCATTCTGGACAAATGATGGATCTATCGTGATATGTGATACCCCAGGAACCGATTCAAACGTTGATAAATTCGTGCATAATTTTGAACAGATAGCTGCAGCATTAACATTTAACCCGGTATCCCAGAGTTTGATCGTCGTCAAAGCAAATAATCAAATGCATTCTGTCGTTGAAACTATTGTAATGTATCAGAATCTTCTGCAACTGA